ATTATGGATTATATTTTGATGCCTAAATGACTATGTGAAATTTTAATTGTGCTTTGCTATGTGCTCTTGCTTGTTTATGTGTTGATCATTGGGTGTGAGGATGAGAAAAGGGTAAGTAGATGGGTGCATGTGTGTGTGCATTAGTGTCATGATTTTTAAAAAAGGTAAAATATGTTGGAAAGTCTTTCGAGGTTACGGTAAATAACCGGGGTACGACGAGTCGTTACCGTAGGGCCTAGGGGTGGTTTGATTCCACGTAGATAGACGGATTCGTAAACTATGAGGTTATTTATCGGGAGCTTAGATTGATTCTTCCAAAGGAATTCCCGATGATTTTTCATATCTCATTATGGTGTTGAAGATATAGGTGGGAAAATCTCACTCTATAGTCTTGGGATCGTAGGGATATAAAGGTGGGAGATTCTCATTCTATAATCTTCAATATGTGTCATGGCATAGGGTTATAAAGGTGGGATATTCTCACTCTACGGTCTTGGGACCAGGGTTATAAAAGTGGGAATTTATGAGTGCGTGTGACAATTATGTGATGAAGAACTCCGACGGAAAAGGGAAGTATATGATTGCTTTATTTTATGTTGAATGTCTATGTATAAGATATATATATATATATATATATATATATATATATATATATATATATGTATGCTCTATGTGTTATGTGTATTCGATAATAATTCAAGATTCTCATTGAGTCCTCAAAGGCTCATATAGGTGTTGTGTGTTTGTAGGTATACCCAAGGTTCTAAATATCGGTTATCAGATTCGAGGCGGTTAGGGACCGCCACACGATAAATCGATGCGGCGGTGATTAATCGGAGATATATCGGAAATAAATTGGTTTTAGATTTAGTGTAATATATTTCTAAATATTATTTCTTAATACTTAAAACGTATAAAAAAAATTAAACTTGATTCTCTCCTCATCGTTTATGTAATTTAATCACATAACAAAAATTTAACATTTAGAACTTGATTCTCTCCTCATCGTTCTAAATGTTTTTGTTTTTAGGCCAGGTTCTTCTTACGGAGTCGATTAGTTTAGGTTTGATTGAAAGATATAATGGGTTGGAATTGAAAAAAACAAATAAAAATAAAGATAAACACCATATTTTCCTTGTAATAAAAAATAAATAAAAAAAAATATTTTTCCGATATATTGCTCGAAGTTTGACCCGATATATTGGTTTGACCCGCCACAGACCGCCACAAACCGCCTCGGACCGCCTCACCGTCAAAAAACCGATTTTAAAAACCGCCACATAAATATCGTAAAGGTTTATGCCCGCCACCGATATGGCGGCCGATATATCGGCTGCCACAACCGATATTTAGAACACTGGGTATACCCGATTTGGAGCCCGAGGAGTGAAGTTGGGAATCGAGCTTGAGAATCGGGAGGAGATCGTATGGAGGGGTTGTGGATTGTGTTGGCTCTTAATTTAGTTATGTGGTTTAATTTGTATAATATGCTTGTAAAGACTTTTGATACGGTTTTAGGTATTTTCTACCGATCGCTTCCTCCGATCGGTGGAAATTATTAAAAGACAATATGTGTAATAGTAATTAGGATTAACCCATTGTGGATATTTAATCGGTAATCCGTAGTATTTTGTAAACGAAAGCGAATTTTACTATCTATATGCATGCACGCTTTTCGGGTAGTAACTTCTTCGTGTCTTGTCTCGATGTTTGGAAATTGTTTTCTTATAGATGCTCTGATTCAAAAATCATGCAATTTTAGGAGTCTCTGTATATCTCTGTTCTCATCATTTTTATAGGTCTTGTGCATGAATTGGGTAAGTATTTATATAGTTATGAATTATTTCTCACTACTGCACTAAAACAGAGCCAGTCTAGTGTTTTCTGTTATAACTGGAGTTTTACTCACTCAAATACCTTGTTTCTACTTGAAAAATATTTTACACTTAGTTTTCTGCCTTGGGGTAAAATTTTGTAGTTTTTGGGTTAGTGAGGAATTTATTATGAATTTTCAAAACTCCCTCCCCTGTTCTGGATTTTAAATTGAGTGAATGTGCCATTTTATTTATTTCTCCCAAATGGTCCAGCATCTTTCAAAACTGTTTTAACTGAGTGATTTAGACACATGGTAGATGGTATGGTATTATATTGGGGTTATTTTCTTGATTAGGTTAAGAGGAATTAATTTTTAATGTTTCTGCACTGAATCTGTCCGAATTTTCACTAGGTCCATCATACCTAGTTATTTTCTAGTATTGCATGTAGTATGTATTTGTGTTAATTAATTGATTAGGTTTTAGTATAGGGTGACCTCTCCCCCTCTGATTTAAAAACAATTTTTTTTACGTAAATTTATATCCATAATAATCATTTTAAAAAAAGTATTCCGCTGAGATTACATATAATAAGGGTAATCGAAAGAGGGGTGTCATAGTCTTTCATTTATTATTAGGGTTTTTTGCAAGGACCACCCCTCTGTAATTTCAAATCGCCAAAAAACCCCTCGTGGTAAAAAAATTAGCAAGAACCCCTTGATGAAAATTAGTCAAAGGCAGAAAAGTCCTTGACAGCATGTCGTGTGTTGTACGCGCGGCTTGTGTAACTGAGAGTGTATTTTTTGACGTGAAAAGTCAAAAATACCCTCTTAAATTCTTTTATAAATATACATATATCTAATTGGGTTTAATTGCAGATAATACAAACTTTTGGATCGAATTATAATTTTCAAAATTTCTTACGAAAACAAAAATAACATATTATATATATATATATATATATATATATATATAAAAGGTTAGATCTCAATTAGACTCGTCTTCTTCCCGAATTTCCTACAGCCGCCCCTTTCCTCCCACTACCGGCCTCCTCCAATCTTCTCCTCCACTGACAACTTCTCTTTGGCTATGCCAATTGCTTGAACCCCCAGACCTCCGCCGTTCATCAGTAATGGAGGATGATACGGGCCACTCTGACCCAGATGAATAAACACGAACTGAGAAGAACCAATTCACTACTATAAGAAACGATGCCGAACTACAACCTCCGAATGGCGAGCTGGCAACGCCGCGACTCGCATCCCAGTATAAGAATGACCTAAAGCAGGCCCAATAGAAGAGGCCCAAAACACTTAACTTGGAGAGAGAGTAAACCCTAAGAAAGGAAACCTTGGAGGCCAAGGTTTCCTCATCTATAAATAGAGGAACCATTAATCACACAGACACACGCTTTTGGGAGATATTTGTTTTCACTGCGATAGTACACATACACTTATTTCTTTAATACCACTGACTTGATCGTCGGAGCTTTCCCGCCGGGAACTCCTCCCGGCGTTGCAGGTATCTTCATCAGAGTAAAGATCAAGGTGCTTTGAAGAAGACGGAAGCCTTACGGACCAAATCAAGTGGCGCCGTCTGTGGGAAAGATCTAGAGTTCTGGGTACACAACTTCCAGGAAAACATCACATCTGCCCCTGGAAGTCCAGATCTGAGCTATAAACGTAGAGAACAATGGAAGAAAAAGACACCATTGCCCGAAATTTATAAAAGGAATTAGATGCTGTAGCTCGCGATACACCCATTGACGATCCGTCGTCTGTCTTGAAGGACAAGTCAGGATGCAGCCTGGTCACGCCCGAAAAGGAGGGCCGGATTCCTCTCTTCTCGGGTAGCCCCTCTTTCGAATTTCAAAATGATGAAGCTGCTTCGAATAAACCGATTACAGCCCCGGCTCAACCTCCAAACGAGCGTATGTACACCAAAGACGAGGTGGAAAACATGATCACCACGGCCATCCGGAACTACACTCAATCTTTACCCCAGGGCAACAGGCCTAAGAGAGACCTTAGGCGCCCCTCGAACGAAGAGCGAGCTGAGGATGAATGCGATAGTTACTCGGAGAACCGAGAAGGCAATAGTGAGGGTGTTAGGACCGAGGTCGATAGCTTGAGGCGAGATATAAATGAACTAAAGGCTTTGCGGAGCGGCTTGACACGGACTCCCGAAGGATCCAGCCCTTTCGCCAGGCACCTCGATAACGACCCTATACCAACAAATTAATGACCCATTTTGTTCGAATATAATGGCACATCGGATCCCGCCGAGCACTTGAGTCGGTTCAACAACACAACGTCACTCCACCAGCTCACTGAAGGAGTGAAATGTCGTGCTTTCGCCACCACTCTGGCTGGGCCGGCTCAAGCCTGGTTCGGTTTGTTATCGCCCGGAAGCATACACTCCTTTGGGCAGTTTGCTAAGGCTTTCATGAATCAATTCGCTAGCTCGAAAAAATGCAAAAAGACCTCGCTGTCGTTGTTAAGCATTCGACAGAAAGACAAAGAAAGTCTTCGGAATTACATCAAACGGTTCACTTCAGCCACTTTAGAAGTTCCTACTACTAGCGACGAGGTATTAATGGCAGCCCTCTCACAAGGGCTGAGGGATGACGAATTCTTTCGAGCTCTAGCACTGGAGCCCTCACCCAATTTCGATAATTTATTGGAAAGAGCATCCAGGTTCATTAATCTGGAAGAAGCCCGACAACAGAAGATAGAAGAATCTCACCAGACATTAAACATGCGGGCCAGCGAGGCGAGGAAGAGTAAGGAGCCTATGTTACCACGAAGAGATGCAACACCGGGCCGAGGTAGCATCCCGGATGCTAAAGGAACCCGATACCAATCATACCAGCCTCTCACGGCACCCCTGTCTCATGTATTATGCGCAATCGAGAAGAGAGTTGACTTGCGTTGGCCCCGATTCGCTCGAGAAGAGCCCCGCCGAAATCCGGCGCTGGGCACCTTTTGCCGTTTTCATAACGAATATGGACATATGACAGATGATTGTTCGCATTTGAAAGATGAGGTAGAACGTCTTATCAGAGACAATAAAATCGGGGACTTTGTAAAGATCGACCCTCCCCGAGGACAAAAGCGCGAGGCTCAATTCGGAAATCCTGCTCGGGTCCCTCCTCCGCCACCGATACCGAAATGAGGGTACATTCAGATGATCTCAGGAGGACCTACAGGAGGAGATACCCACCGAGCTAGACGACGCTACCTCGGCAATCTCAAGAATGACCATGAAGTTCGCCAGATCTCTGCAATGAAGTGTCGCCAATATCCCACCATCTCGTTCGGACCTGAAGACGAAGCAAACCTCGATGATTTTCATTGTGATCCCCTCCTCATCACGATCAATGTAGGTGGATACGACGTGGCCCGTGCCTTTGTCGATTCAGGAAGTTCTGTTGACGTCATATCTTATGAATGTTTCCAGCAAATGGAACTCGATCTCCCAATCTTCCCCGTCACAACCCCGATATTCGGATTCACGGGAGGGTCCCTGACACCAATCGGACAAGTTAAAATCCCCGTCACCTTAGGGATACCCCCTCGAACACGTACACAAACTGTTAATTTTGTAATTGTCGAAGGGTCCTCTACCTCGTACAACATCGTGGTAGGTCGGCCAATGATGCACATCTTCCGGACGATCCCTTCGACCATACACCAAAAGCTTAAGTTCCCGGTTGATGGGGTAATAGGAGAGGTTAGGGGTGACCAAGCTCAGTCAAGATCTTGTTACGTCGAGATGGTTAAAATGGCGGAGAAAGGACGACGTGACACTTTCACTAAAGAAGACCTAGGGGATTAGAAACGCCCCCGAATTGACCCAGAGGATAAAGTTGCTCATGTACAGCCCATGGATGAGTTGATGACAATTGACCTTGTCCCCGGCATGATGAAGCAAACCCGGGTAAGCAAGGACCTGGAACCATCTTTTCGAGACAAACTGATAACACTATTGCAATCCAATGTTGATATCTTCGCATGGCAACCGAGCGATTTGACCGGTATCACACCTCGCACCGCTGTACACAGGCTCAACTTGCGACCCGAGTGCAAACCCATTAAACAGAAGCGGCGACATTTTGGTACCGAGAAAGACGAGATTATCAAACAAGAGGTTCAACGACTACTAAATATTGGACACATTAGGGAAATCCAATTCCCCACATGGTTATCCAACGCAGTATTAGTCCAGAAGACCAATGGGCAGTGGCGGATGGGCATCGATTTTCGGGACTTAAACAAGGCCTGCCCAAAGGATGATTATCCCTTACCCCGTATAGACCAGCTCGTAGATGCTACCGCTGGATGCGAGCTACTCGGTATGATGGACGCTTCGCAAGGGTACCACCAGATCCCGTTGGAGGAGAGGGATCAGCCTGCAGTTAGCTTTATCACAACCACTGGTACTTATTGTTATGTGGTGATGCCTTTTGGTTTGAAAAATGCAGGGGCTACGTATCAGAGATTGATGGATAAGATGTTCCGGGCTCAGCTCGGACGTAACATCGAGGTTTATGTCGATGATATGCTGGTAAAGAGTAAGAAGCGTTCCACGCATCTCGCTGATTTAGCGGAGACATTTGCCACTCTTCGCCTCTATGGGATGAAACTGAATCCTGCAAAGTGCGCGTTCAGGGTGAAGGCTGGAAAATTTCTCGGATACGTAATCAACCGAGTAGGTATCGAGGTAAACCAGGACAAAGTCGAGGCAGTGCTTCAGATGACGCCTCCTCGGTCCATCAAGGAAGTACAATCCCTAGCGGGAAAGATAGTGGCCCTAGCTCGCTTCATATCACGGATGGCCGATAAAAGTCTGCCCTTCTTCAAAATTCTGAGGAAGACAGCTTAGTTCGAATGGACCAAGGAATGCCAACTCGCATTTGAGGCATTAAAGATTTCGCTCACTCATTTGCCCACCCTTAGCACCCCTGAGAAAGGTGAAACCCTATTCGTTTATTTATCGGTGGGTGAGGAGTCGATTAGCTCAGTCCTGCTCAAAGAAGTGAATAACCAGCAACTACCGATCTATTACATCAGCAAAATCCTAACTAATTCGGAGACTAGGTACTCCGAAGTTGAAAAAATCGCATATGCACTAGTCCTCACTACACGGCGTCTCCGACCCTACTTCTTATCGCATACCATGGTAATCCGCACAAGCCTACCACTCCGACAAACTTTAGGTCAACCCACTGCATCGGGACGAATTGTTAAATGGGCTGTTGAGTTAGGATAATACGAAATCCAATACCAACCCCGTACCTCGGTCAAGGGACAAGCGTTGGCGGACTTCATCCGAGAAACTACCAGAATACCCACGGAAAAAGAATGGAGAGTCTACGTGGATGGGTCATCTACGGCAACGGGAGCCGGGGCGGGGATCATAATCATCGACCCTATGGGGATAGAAGTCGAATTTGCTATAAAATTGCCACGAGTTTCCAACAATGAGGCGGAATATGAGGCCTTTATCCGAGGTATGGAAATCGCCCAAGAACTCGGTGCACGAGTGGTGCGAATAAACTCCGATTCCCTGTTGGTAATACATCAGTTTGAAGGAGACTACAAAGTTAAAAATGATAGGATGAAAGGTTATGTGAACAAAGCAAGAGCGGTACAGGAAACCTTCGAGACTTGCACCGTGCATCAAATCCCGAGAAACGACAACTAGCGAGCTGATTTTCTCGCTAAAATCGGATCATCAGTTGTCGATTGTGTCGAAAGAAAGATCTCTGTCCTTATTGCCCATACTCCGATCCCTGGAATCATGATGATCGACGAAGAATCTGACTGGCGAACACCTTTGTTCGCATATTTTATAGGGGAACGGACTGGCACAAATAGAGAGCAACACCGTTTGGCCTATAAAGCCAGACACTTTTACGTGCGCCACGGGATATTATATAAAAGGAACTTCACCACGGTGGACGCAAGGTGTTTGGGAAAGCAAGAGGTACAGCATGTCCTCGACGAGGTACACCGAGGGGATTGTGGTGAACATGGGGGAGCTCGGGCTCTCATACAAAAGCTATATCGGGCCGGTTATTATTGGCCCGGCATGAAGATGGACACCCATAAATATGTTCAACGTTGCGTACAATGTCAGAAGTTCGCTCCACTTATCCACAAGATGGGAGAAGAAATGATTATTATGAGCGCCCCATGCCCCTTTGCTCAATGGGGAATCGATCTGGTGGGACCCTTCCCACAAACAACCGGCAGGAAAAAAATCCTCATCGTTGCGGTGGACTACTTCACCAAGTGGGTCGAAGCGGAGGCCCTATCAAAAATATCGGAGGATGAGGTCATGCATTTTATTTGGAAGAACATTTGTTGCCGATTCGGCCTGCCTCGGAGCATCGTATCAGATAATGGCACCCATTTCAACGGCAAGAAAATTCGCGCATGGTGTGAAGAGATGAAGATTACACAGAAGTTTGTGGCGGTCGTACACCCCCAAGCCAACGGACAAGTCGAATCCACGAATCGAACCATTGTCAATGGCTTAAAAAAGAGGATAGACGAACTAGGTGGGAGTTGGGTGGACGAGTTACCCTCAGTACTTTGGTCTTACCGGACCACCACCAAGGCTGCCACCGTCGAGACGCCATTTCGGCTAACCTATGGGACTGAGGCATTCATCCCAGTGGAGGTAGCAATGGACACACTTCGCATAACCACGTTCGATGAAAAGACAAATGATGATGACTTGAGAACACAGTTGAATGAGATCTTCGATTTGCGAGAAGCGGCATACTTACACATGGAGCGAAGTAAGAACTTGATCAAGGCTCGATATGACCAGGGGGTCCTGTCTCGTTCTTTCCTGATCGGTGACCTAGTCCTACGGCGAGCTGACGCCCTAAAGCACACAGGAAAGCTGGAAACTAATTGGGAAGGACCATATGTGGTCACAAAATGCCAGGCCGGCGGCGGATACGAGCTGTCAGATATGGAGGGAAAAGCATTGCCACGAGCGTGGAATGTAATCCACTTGAAGCGTTTCTTCGAATAAAAAAAAAAAAAGAGAAGGAGTAACACCTTTTGTAAGGCAAATACCATCAATAAACATTTGTTTCACGAGCTGGGCTAGGCCCCGTGGTTTTTTCTCTCCTTATTAGGAGGGTTTCCACGTTAAAAAATTCCTGTGTCATTTATTTGAGGCGTTAAATCGCGTAAAAAACTGAGGCGTTAAATCGCGTAAGAAACGAGGCGTTAAATCGCGTAAGAAATGAGGCGTTAAATCGCGTAAGAAACGAGGCGTTAAATCGCGTAAGAACTGAGGCGTTAAATTGCGTAAGAAACGAGGCGTTAAATCGCGTAAGAAACGAGGCGTTAAATCGCGTAAGAAACTGAGGCGTTAAATCGCGTAAGAAACGAGGTGTTAAACTGCGTAAAAAACTGAGGCGTTAAATCGCGTAAGAAACGAGGCGTTAAATCGCGTAAGAAACGAGGCGTTAAATCGCGTAAGAAACGAGGCGTTAAATCGCGTAAGAAATGAGGCGTTAAATCGCGTAAGAAATGAGGCGTTAAATCGCGTAAGAACTGAGGCGTTAAATCGCGTAAGAAACGAGGCGTTAAATTGCGTAAGACACGAGGCGTTAAATCGCATAAAAAATGAGGCGTTAAATCTCGTAAGAAATGAGGCGTTAAATCGCGTAAGAAACGAGGCGTTAAATCGCGTAAGAAATGAGGCGTTAAATCGCGCAAGAAATGAGGCGTTAAATCGCGTAAGAACTGAGGCGTTAAATCGCGTGAAAAATAAGGCGTTAAATCGCGTATGAAATGAGGCGTTAACTCGCGTAAGAAACGAGGTGTTAAATTGAAACAAAAATAGGTTGTTGTTAAATAAGCAAAAAATAGCTTATCAGATCAAGTTCAGCCCCGAACCAATGAATCCATAGAAATAAGCCGGATCACCGAAGTAAATCAACACAAGAAGAATCATTGGTTCTGGTTGAGTTAAAAAGCCGGTCAGGCCCAATGTCCAATCACCTTATTGCCCCCATTTGGGTCACAAACTCGCATTACTGAGTTAAAAAGCAAGTTGACATGTCCAAAAACTCATTTTCTTCTTACATGAACAAAATAAGAACAGGAAAGCCCAAATGAACACATGAAACAAAAATTAAACAAACGAGCTCCTGATATATTGAGATATGAAAAGCGAAGAAGATTGTTCAAAACATACGGCAAAAAGAAAAAGAAAAAATATGAGTACATCGTACGAAAGTACATAGCTAAAAACAAATAAAATCGGCTAAGCATTCTCGTTTGTTGCTTCAGAAGGCTCCACTCTTGCTTCACCTTGATCCCCGGCAGACGGAGAAGGAGACGAGATAGGGTTCGACGGTGCCTTGTTGAGGTTAGCCATCGCATCAACAATCTCGACGTCCCCAACAAAATCGGTAATAATCACCGAAGAGGTCCCTTGGCGAGAGAAATCTTCAACGAGTTCCCGATGCACTTGTCTCCACCACTCCAAGTCGGGATCTTCATTGACATCTCCTTCGAAGCCCGGAATCTCGTCATCCGGCAGGTCCTCGGCAAGCTCATTCTCGACCAGCGGGAACTCGATGCCAGCACCACTTAACCGCTTCCGAACAGCTTTTACCGCGGCTGAAAAGAAGAAGCGAGCTAAACCGGACGCTTGTCGGGTGTAAGTCGTCGAACGCCAGAGCCGGTCGAAAAAGCAACCGACGAACGCCTCCATAAAGCGGAGACCCTCAGACGATCCCGGGAACAGCCTATGCCCTTCCTTCACTCCTTCAGTGAAGTTGGTGGATGCTTGCACCCCAGTTG